AAGGGTTCGACAGTGTCGACCGAGAAGTAATTTGTAGGCAGCTGCTTCAACACTACGATTTTAATACCACAAAACTTCAAGCCCATTCAACAGCTACATGCTTCATGAGAATGCTACATACCACGTGATTCAAAATGGAGGGCTCGGCGATGCCCTTGACACGAAGAGAGAAAGGAGTGAGACAAAGTTGCCGCCTACCATCACTGATCATCTTCCTGGTTGTGGTCGACTGGACTCGGCTGGGCTAGATGATGCAACAAACAACTGTGATTGACGAGAAGATAGGCATGCGCCTGCTGGACCAATGAAAAGACCTTACAAAGTTTGGATTTCGCCCGTGATTATTTATGTCCAATGCCGCACAAACTTGCAAGCTGGCAGAAGAGGCAAGGTAAGGCCTCAAAAAAAGACAAGACGTGCTTCAGATGAATGTAGGGAAGACACGGGTTATAGAGACACCCGACCAACAACAACGACAATATCAGGCACCACGAGCGGGAGAAATTTGAACGAAGCTGTCTCTTTCACCTACCTACCTCCCTTCCTGGACGACATCGTTTCAACTGCAGGCATCACAAGTACAGATGTGGATCTCAAAGCCAGGATCGGAAATGCAGCAAGACAGGCCTACCTCCACCAACCGGAAATCAGCGTGGAGATCCACTGCACTCAGCATAAAGCGTAGATAATATCCGGATTTTCGACCCAAATTCAGTCAGTCAAGTAAGTCAGTGCTTCCGTGCGATGGCTAAAACACTTGGCGCGTTGCGAAAAGCATTTCCAACAAACTGCAGACATCCGTTTTCAACACCTGCCACCTACGCTCAATCGATACTGAGGACCAGATAAACGGAAAGAATATGCAACATCGATCCCTAGCCGGGCAACGAATCAACGAAGTGTGAACATATCCTCCAACAAGTTTGCAGATGGAAGTGGGGATGGATTGGACTGGACATATAGAGGGATGACCGACTGGGGACGTCGCGTGCCAGGCCAAGCTGTCGAGTGGAACCGGAGTGGAAAACGACGAGTTGGACGTCCGAGGGTGACATGGAGTCACTGGTGTGAGGAAGACATGAAAGCTTGTGGGCAGTGACGGGTCCGGATTGAAAAGACTGTATGGAAGGGGGTGAAATGGTGACGTGCTACTGAAGCTCCCGGTTCCACTAGGAGCCTGAGGGGCAAATAATGACAGTCAGAAGAAACTGGGTGCTTCCACACCGTTGAAAATCTTCCTCATCGCTCTGCATGCGAAATTCACATTGAGAGAGCTTGTGAGTATCATTTTTGACCATTCTGAGTTGGAGTCTACCACAAGTGAGGCATAAAGTGGGCTTAAGAAGGGTCTACAATGATCTACATGAGTGCTCTGCCACGTCTATCAAGGCGCATGCCATGGACTCCAAAATGTCTCTCCATGCGTTATTCCATATCGGCCACCGTCTGTAGCTCATCGACCTTTTCATCACACCAGCACCAGTTTCTGGCCACCAGCATGTTAGACATACAAAATATTCCATTTTGTGGACTCCTCGGTGGGCAAAAGAAGACCACGTGATACAGCAGATTTAACTATCAGAGGGCTAACAATTCTGTGGTTCATGTGTGAGAATTCTTCGGGTTGTAGTGATATTTTGCCTCTACGCTTGTCAAACTCAGGAAATAATCGCTTGCACCCGGCATCCCAACTCTTCAGAGCATTTATGGCGCCTCCGCGGTACTTTCTAGCATCCCTTATAAGTTGCGTTCTGTTAACAGTATTCAGTACCAACAGCAAGACTTTCCACGGATGAATAACGTGATAGGAAAGCTGAATAAGGTATATCTCCGGCCTGTGTTCAGGCGTGAGCAAGACAAATGCCAAATTAAACCGAAATTTGGATGGATTAACCGGTATATTTTATGACGGAAACACCTGAGCATTTTTATAAGGCGTCGACTACCCGATTCAATATTCGAAACATGAAGTTTGATGTCGCCTTGATGAGATTCGACACCATCTAATGTCTGGTCAATAACCTTTAGGAGTACTTCAGGTGGTGCTGTCACTCCATTCCAGAAGGTAAGACTTATAGATGCAGACATGCGAAGTGGAGAATTAGTCGTGGTCAATTCACTCAAGGCTTCATATCTGGGAGCTTGTGCACGTACTTCTTTAAGATCTATTGTGGAGAAACATTTCGGAATACGCAATTTGAAGGAGATATCTTCAGGCTTTTTTGTATCAGTCGACTATTAAGTGTTAGACCATAACCACCAAAGATTCTCCGCTTACGCCCACCTACCTTCGATGGTGTTGCAGTAGGAGTGGCCAAATCCTGAAGTAACTGAAACAAGTTTATTCTTTAACCAACTCAGCCAGTTCTTTCTTAACTGCTTACCGTAAACCAAATGAAATCGGTCAAGGTTTCAGGAGACCACGATCTCCCTTTATTTCCAGATGCATGAATATTAATTTCACCTGAAAACCTTCAACAGTTTAAGATGATTGGGGGATTAAAGGCTCTTCCTTGATTTGTTAGACAGTCATTCGGGGCATTTTTAGTTGATGGAAAGATCCGCCCACTTAATTCGGGTAGCAAATGGGACTAACTTACTCAACAAAGACTGATCCTTCATGTTTTCTCCGAGCGCGTTTTCTGCTGCTCCCTTGTGGGTTGATGTGCCAGTTTCACCCGCCAAACGGACAAGTGGCATATTGAAAGCTCATGAATTCCAGCAACGAAAGCCTATGACGCCCCAAAATGTGCATTGTCTCGCTATTGGTACGAAGATGAGGTTAGCGTGTCTGGAAACTTGGATAAACACAGATCTACCGGACAAGGATTAACGCATGTTTTAACCTCCCATCCTCAAACCACAAATCTGGTTGCTCTGGAAATAACCTCGCGCCAAATCAAGCGTAAAAATCGAAACAAACTTGTTAGTCAAAAAAAAACACGGGTGATCGAAAAGAGGTCAACGGAATATATGGAGAGCCCGAACAACGACAGCTGCATGTATTTATGAATTACATATTTACCGTTTTCAGCTTGGAGTCAGCGAAGAATTAACATCTCCCCGAAAGACCGCACAGTGCAGAAGCCCACCCATAGCAGATGGATAGCAAAAGTCAAAAGCGATAAAGTAACCCATTGGAAATGTCTGCGTAGAACACTGAGAAAGAATCATCGAGCGTTGTACTCACTAGTGAAAAAGTAGGGTGTCGTTCAGTTTGGTACATACGACCCTAATGGTTTAGGGATTAACCACACTAGCACTTAGGTAGCCAACACACTGGCTCAATGACTCCAAAATAACTGTCAACTGGTAGGCGGCTTGAATCCCGTTAAAGCCTTAGGAACCAGCGAGACCCGTAGAACAGAACTCGAAGTGTGTGTCAGTGCTTTCAGTGCCCTACTGGGAAGCCTCTTCAGATATTCGCCGCTGGAGGGTATGATTGCCCACGGTTTGGAAATAGCTATCAGCTTTCTCACTTTGTATAGTTGGAAATAAGCTGATTACCTCTATCGTCCAATCCTCCTTATTTCCTTACTTAAGAAAGTTATGAGAGGAGCGGTAAATGGCCTATCCCACGGTTACTGACTTCAGAAATCAATCTTAACCGACTATAAATACGGGCTTTTGACCAAAAACTCATGTAACACCAGGTTATTGGAAGCACGGAACCGCTGAACTCTCTCTGCTTAGTTGAAAAAACCTTTCATCTTGGGTAAATAAACTGTTTCAGGGTATTTGGCAGTGCTCTTCATAGTGTGCTGTTTGAGAAATTTCAGCTTATGGATGCACAATGAAGACCACCTCAACACTCAGTCTCAACCAGTTAGTTTTCTCCTTCTTGTCTAACTGGTTCCCTGAGGTTAGTGGTGTTCAGCAAGATTCAAGCCGTGGTTCCCAGCTGCTTCTTGCCTTCTTAAATAAGTTACAAGTGGCCCCTAAATTCGCGTTCGTTAAAAAATGCAGATAATTTGAAGAGTTGGAAGAAAATACAATCATCGAAGGATATCTGTTCTCCAGAAATATCTACATGAAACCCTTGATTGGACAAGTGTCGAACGTAGGATGGTGGTTGGAGGCAAGTATTGGTGTGATTTTAGCTCATATTCCTTGAGTGAAGCAAATATCTTTGACTCAAACATAGTAAAAGATCCAGTTGTTTTAAGCAACACACCTGGGGCGCTTGTAACTCATCACCTTGCAGTCAGCCAGCCATGTGAAGTCCTAGGATAACCTTCTGAAACCCTAGGGACTCTGACTACAGCCCCATTTCCCGCATTGCACAGAATGTATGTTCGTACTCATCTAAATAAAATCTAACTAGTTATATCCCCACACTTCAAGAAGGTTAGCATCCTAGTATGAGTCCACAGAAGGGCTATGAAAAAGGTATGAACCTGAATCACCAATCCACCCTTATGCTGAGGCCCAAACAATAGACGAAGATCAGAGGGTATGTGATTGTGCTGTATCATGTTTCTCACAATCCCCCCACTTTAAGATTGCTTTTAAAGTTTAATCGGGAACACCACCACATAGACCATGCACCAAGGGTAAGGAATAAGGGATCACAAGTGGTGATCCGTGCTTGCTGTCTTTCATTTGGGAAGAGTAAACCGTGTAACTCCCTTAATTTGACGCACACTTTTAAAGTTTGGACACCCACCTGGAGTATTGTAGTACAGTTTGACTGTGCCGAAGAAACTCCCCATCGTGTTACAAACCTTGGTTAGCAGCATCAAAAGACAACTGCCTAACTAATAACATATCTGTCCTTCAGATTTTTCGGTACCACTAAAAGAGGTTCGATCATTTCGAATAAAGAATGTAGTCCATTTAAACAGATGCATAACCAAAAGGAACATCGTAGGCAATTTTTTGGCATGAAGTTTCAGGTTTGTAGTTGAATACTGCTGTAATCCAAACGCGAATTTTGTAAAGTATGCGCTGATTCCAAAGTGACCTGGAGCGGCGCCTATTTTGAACATCTATTCGTGAACATGATAATCAAAGAGTAGTGAGTTTTTTTTCTGACTACCTTGCGTATCACCATATGATGTTTATAATAACTGTGCATTATTTTCCACCCTGATAGTCGTATAATTTTGCCCATGACGGTTGAAGAATATCGAGTTGGTCAGTTGTACTCAGTTGCCGAAGCCTCCAAAGGAGAGACAGGAGGTGGTGATGGTGTACAAATTTTGGTCAATGAGCCGTTCGATCAACATACATATAAACCAGAACGTCCCTTGTTGAAAGGAGACCCCAGGTTTACAACCGGACAATATACGCATAAATATTATCACCTTGCGCATAAAGTACCTGGATTTGTTCGTATGGTTGCTCCGGAAAGTGCACTTGTCTTTAATGAGTATGCTTGGAATGCTTACCCGTACTGCAGGACCATCATCACAGTGAGTATGAAACTTAAATGACTTTATAATATACAGAACAATTATATGCAAGAAAAGTTTAATGTGACTATCGAATCTCTTCATGTGGACTCCGTTATCGATATGGAAAATGTAAGTTTTCAAAGTGACTTATTACAAATGGATTTTACTGTCTCAACTTCTCTAGGCTCATGCAGCTTATGTCACTGGGTTGATACTTCATTATTCCCATGCATTGTCGATTTTTCGTTTTTGATTACTTTGGTCCGGTTTTTTTTCCGAGACAACCCTGAAGGAGGTGGGTGGTGTTGCTGTAATTTTGTCACCGCGTGGAAGACGTTTCGAGTGCGGCGTACACCGATCTAAGAGGCTTTTGACGAGCCGCCGTGCTCCAGACTTGTAAAAACTGGCACCTGCAAACAGGATATCTGATGACTATCCTTTGTATCACCGTCTACCTCGTGGGATTCCCTGAAACCGGGGAAAACGCCACATAGGTAGTTCCGAGGTAAGGTGACGTGTTTGAGCGTGATGCAAATCACCATCCATGGAGTAATGCTTGGACAAGTGTTACACATGTCGTTCCAGTGACTGCTGCAGTACTGTATTCGTTTACCGTGGGCCTGGTTGGAAATGATGAGGTGACCATTGTATGATGTGATGCCTTGGGATAAAGTACATTTGTGTTGGATTAGCGTCTCCAAGCGCCCCATGACTTTCTGGATGAGTCCAAGAGATCATGCAAGTTAGTAGCTTGAGATGATAGCAGGTGTGTCTCAGAATTGAGGCCACGTCTAGTCATGATTCAGTTTTCTTGTTTCTTGTACTGCACAGTGAAACAAAAGCAGTGAATACTTCTCGGGCATGTCTCTAAGATTGTTTTTTTAATGATCCACTTTTGTTTTTTTCATCCTATCCTTTGTCTTCTTAAGATCACCACTTTCTTATGTTCTAAATAAGTGATGTTCTCACCAGTTCTGACTAAGCTAAGAGAAGGTTCAAAACCCACGAGTAAAATACACTGACAACCACTGCGATTCCTTAAATGCACAGGAAATACGAAAAACAAAGGGCGTAAGTGGCCTGATGTTAAGGTCACAAACTACCTTTCGTCGTCTTTCCTACGATGCATATTTTTTTGTCTGGCTACTTATAGACACTGACGTTATTTTTGTGAGTAATACTTCAACAATGAATGATCCCTAATACTAGGAAGCTCATTATTTTAGTTCAATATTCGAAGTCTTTTCTCACTATCTCAAAACACTCCAAACTATGATACAATAGAAATTTTGGCTAGTACTATCTTTTGACCTTTACTACTCAAACTCGATAGTTTTCTGCTTGAATTTATCCAGTGTTTATGTAGAGATTTTGTAGTACACTTCAATAAATTGCTTTTTTTTTGTTTATTAGCCTCATCAGTTAACTCCACAACAATTGGCTGAAGTTGAAATAATCTACGTAGATATTGGCGATATTAGTCCATCTGACAAAGATTACAACCCAAATGAAGATCCTACAAGTTTTCGATCCGAAAAAACTGGTCGTGGACCCTTAGGACCTAAATGGTGGGAGGTAATTTGTCAGAAAATGTTTCACTTATCCATTATACTTATTGCATGTATGAATAAGCTGATCGTTTAAATGACGAGGATTCAATTGCATGCACCACATTGAAGTTAATTATTACTTTAAATTGACGAAACTAGTGACCGAAAATATGCATGGAAGGATGTATCCTTACTATCGTTGCATACTGTCACGAAAGGTATTGAAGTTATTCCAATTTGCTTAGGCTGCCACTATTTATGGACGGTATTTATCTTCTGATCAACTTAGTCAGTTTCTGACCACTCATAATAATCAGCTGTATTCAATAGTCAAATCAAACCTATCTAAATATGGGTAAATATCTAGCGCTAGGAATTGCGAGCGTCAATCATTTGTTTCGATTCAGTTCGAAGTAACAAATTATTTGAAAGGTCTGATGCTAGCCATCAACATATATAGGCGTCAAGAAAATACTCTTAAAATTCACAGTCATAGAGAAAATTCTGAAGCTAAATGGAATCTAGTTGCAAAGTACTGGCGTACTTTTCTATTCCGACTAAAATGTCTAGATAACAGTTTAGTAAATAAATAAAAACAAACGTCTGGCATTCAGATTACCTTTAACTGATTGGGTGAGAGTGATATCATATATGTCTTATCATACAAACCAGTAGTAAATGCTATACAACAGCACATTCGCACTCTTTAGGTTGCTTAACCACTTGAAGCAGATGAAACCCGTTTTTCTTAGCTTAGACTATGAGATTTACTAAAGCTTAAGCATTTGCACCAACCGTTTGTTCTTTCATAAAACTTCGTCTACCCTGATATCACCCTTCCTGTCCACTTGTTCTTTTTATACTACTGTGAAGTGTGGCAACTTGAACCGATGCACTTATGTGAGGTCCTACGTTGATTTTATCTATCTGTTTACATGTCTATGTCATCTATTAGGTTGTTATTCTGAGAATGCATAGGTGCTTTTCTTATGTGGTTCACTGTACTGCATGAATTAAAACTGGTGTAATTGATGCGGAGGTTGGAACCACACTATTTATGAGTCTAAAATATACGATTGTACTAATATCAGAGATGAAATTTAATCTTTTATTACATCAGCGTGTTAGGTCTAACTCCGCTAACAGACATGTATACGCTACATGTCGATAGTCTAGTCGGAAATTCTGTTGCATAAATCTATGAAAGATACGTTGACGATATCATAGTTGTGTTAACAAACTGGCAGATGCCTTACTGTCACCGAGTGAATGAAGTCTAGAGTAGTATATCTGTTACATGTCAGGAAAAAAAAGATGACTGTCTACTATTCCTAGACATTCTCGTAACTCCCTAGCAAAGTTCATCAATAAAACACCCCATCTATGACCAGGCGGGTTTGGGACTTGGCCGTTGTTGTATTGACCAGGTATTCACCTTCTATCAGGATCCGGAACACATATATGCTTACTACCACATGAAACTAGTATTTCTTGACCTGAAAGTGGCATTTGACTTTGTGGGCTGAGAGGTTTTATGCCAGTTTCTCACTGGAAGGAGTGCTAAGGAAGTTCACTGCTCTGTCAAAGGCTCTGTACTTGAACACCCATTGGCGTGTTATAGTCCATGGTGATGTATCACGTGAGGTGTGTACTTTCAGTGTTTATCAAGGGTGTATAATCCATTCTTATTCCACTTTATCCTATACATACTTATGAGAGTCCCCCTCTCTTCATCAAACTATAGGGGTTGATCTTATCACAGGAGAATCGTTCATATACTTAGAGTACGTAGATAACAATGTCCTGTTAGGTGAAGACGCTGACAAAGTGCCTACCTTCTGGACACGTTCAGTGGGAATTCGAGAATCTTTACGTTGTTTTTCCTGTCACCTCAACCTAATTTTCTCCTTCACAACTGGCCTTCACTGGTGTCTTGTTTAACTATAGAGGTGAAGTGGCTGACTATGTTGACCACTTCACTTACCTCGGAAGTGGATTCAACTTTGATGTATTAGTGACCGACAAAATCTGTGCATACATACAAAAGGGTTGCTTGTCTTTCGCCAACTTACGCCATCTTTGGTGTCTCCGTGACATCGAATTGCCTATAAAGAACCGAGTGTACTGTGCTGCAATTCTCTCTTTCCCATAACTGTGAAACATCCATTAGTGGTAACGGATATGAGGAGGCTTCCATTGTTCAACCACAGTTGCCTTCATAGCATCATAGGCCAGGTGTCGTGGTGTCATCACATGAGTAACGTAGAAGTCAAGCCTAGAGTTTTAGAGAAAACAGGGAATCAGTCTGTGAAGTTTCATTGGCTCAGGTAGCTGAGACTTGTGTTGCGCATACCTAGTCACCATCTTCCCTATCCCACAATATTCACTGAGGTAGGTTCAGGTTGGAAAAGGGTTAGAGGTGGTCAGACTGAAACACAATATCAGTCCCTGAAATTTTTGACTCTTGGTATGGGCCATGTAGGAAAATGTGGACGTGCCCATTCGGGGTTAAGAATACAGTAGAAATCAGCGGTTAGCGACCGTAGGTGAAATGTCTCAATCGATATCAGTAGCGTAGATGTGTCTACATAATATCCTCATCTCAATCGTAAAACCAGATTTCAGTATTCTCCAATCCTTCCTTTCTCTGTTTTGATAACGTTTTCTTATGGGTTCGAGGCTCTAATGGTATATATATATATTCCGAAACGAATATAATATGCGCGCTTAGCTGACAGCTAACTTGGTACGCAAGAGACACTGACTGCAACCCCGGGACAAATAGAGAGAAGACCGAAGCTGGCAGATGGGAGAGTGTATTACTCCGAGAATATAATATAATAACAACGAATCAATCCAAAACACGTGAATAAGTATACACATGAAAACTGACCTTGTCCGTAATTGGAGAAATTCGCATAGTAAGAGTAAAAGTTAACCAATCAGCGAATTACATTACAATGGAAGCAGAAAATAGACTATTAGTCATACCGACAAAACGATGTGGAATGACACGTTAAAATGTTCAGATCAATAACAATGTTCTATACAAAACTGAGGCATCACAACACCTCCCCCTTTTTGAAAAAAAAGATCAAAAACTTTAATACCTTCGCTTTTGGGGTCCAGTTGGAACCGCACTGTTTGGGACCGCTTCCGATCCGTACATCTTCTGGGGAGGGGCTCATTGCTGAGTTTGGGCTCAGCTTTTTCGTCGTTGTTGGCAAGTTAAACGTATCCAGCAGAATATCGAGTGGTATGGTTGGATTCTCTGGTTGATTGGCTTTTGTGTGACGCATCTGATTCTTGTGTCTCTCCCATTTCTCCTGATCCACCATTATATCGTACATCACACTCCCACGTCTTCCCATGACAAAACCTTCCGTCCACATGCCATGTCCTGGTCTGTAGTCTCGTACGTAGACGGAGTCCTTTGTTAAAATGTGATCCCACCGTTTGCGTTGTCTGTGCACGACGTGGTGGTAGCATTGCGTGGTGTGGCGTACGTAGCTTCCTTCCCATTAAAACTTCTGCAGGAGATTTGTGGTCTGGTAGGGCGTCATTTGGCGTTGAGCGATAGATGAGTAGAAATTGTTGTATAACATCCGTGTCTCCTCCTCCTTCGGCTTTAAGGAGAGCTCGCTTAAAGGTATCCACAAATCTTTCTGCCTGGCCATTGGATTGCGGATGGTACGCTGGTGTACGAATGTGATGGATTGCATTCACACTGCAAAACTCTGCGAACTCATGGGAGGTGAATTGCGACCCATTATCGGAAACAATGGTCTCGGCAACCCATGGCAGATGAAAATATTTTTAAGAGCCGCGATTGTTCGGCGTGATGATACGGGTGATACTGCGACAATCTCCGGCCACTTGGAATAAGCATCAACAACGATCAGGTAGTAGGTTCCATGTAATGGACCTGTGAAATCGATATGAATTCTAGACCAAGGTCGATCTGGCAATGGCCAACTCTTTGGCGGAAGACGTGGAGGATTCTTAGCTGCCTTCTGACATGATGCGCAGCGACTGACAAATCCAGCTATATCCGAGTCCATATTCGGCCAATAAGCATAGCTTCTGGCGATGGCTTTCATACGTTCTATTCCTGGATGACCAGTGTGAAACTGTTTTAGGAGTTTTGCACGAAGAGACTGGGGGATCACTACACGTTCTCCGAACATGAGGCAGTTGCCGACGACACAAAGGGATTCTCTTCTGCAGAACAGTTGTTTCAGGTCACCGGCAAACGATTTTCGCGGCCATTTCGTCTGGACATAATGCATGACTTTCTGTATGATATGATCCTTGCAGGATTCATTTTCCACTTGAGCTGACGTGACAGGAAGTGCGCGGACGGCACAGTTCAGTAGGTTAACTGCGTAATCCTTTGTAGATACTAAGGCGATCACTGCATCTTCGTTAGGTGTAGGATACTCACTTATAAGCCTTGAAAGTGCGTCTGCATGTCCAAAGTCTTCTGTTCGGCGATATTTAATATCGAAATCATAGCCCAATAATGTTACCGCCCACCGTTGAAGTCTGTCAGCGTTTCGACCCAAAAATTGAAAGGAGGGGCTTGTGGTCGGTGAACAAAGTGAATTTCCTTCCATACAACATCTTGTGGAAGCGTCTGACGCGAAAACTAAGGCAAGTCCTTCCTTCTCTATCTGTGAGTAGCGTTTTTCTGCTGACGTGAGTGATCGAGATGCATGTATGACAGCTTTTTGTGAACCATCCGGATATTCGTGCAATAGGACAGCCCCAACACCAGCGGTGGAAGCATCTGCGGCAACGACGATTGGTAGCTGTGGGTCATAATGCGTTAACAGGAGATCAGAGCTGAGAGTGGACTTGAGTCGTTCTATAGCCGTTTCACATTCTCTCGACCAGGACCATGTGGCATCCTTGCGTAGGAGACGATTCAAAGGTTCCCGTATATCATGTAGGGAGGGCAGGAATGCCGAATAGTAACTGATGAGACCAAGAAAGGTTCGGAGAGTCGCGACATCTGTTGGCGTG